CATTTAGCCTTCAGAGTTTTACAAAAATGAATCTGATCCTCATTGTTCTGGGAGGAAGGTGGCAATGTTCTTGAATTAGCTTAGTTAAAAGGTCTTCTCTTAAAAACTAATGCTCTTAGAAAAGTAAAATTTCTAAAGTTTTTTGACTCTTATATCCAGGGGCAAAAGCCAATTTGCTATCATCTAGTCATGAAAATTCAGCTGTATATACCACAGCTGAAATGGTTCTGTGCCCTATGCTGTGCCTAAAAGCATACTTCATGAGGGCAAGTTCTAAAATAACAACTGACTATTAAAGCAGGAGCTTGAGCATATTCTGCTTGGTTAACTCCACAGCCACTATAGAAATCTGACTCCTAGAAAAGCAAACCCTCCAGGATCACCCAGTGAGTGAGTCAGTCAGGAGAAAAGAAACCAAGAGTCATGACTCTCACACATGCCCCTCGCCATGGCCTAACAGGTCTGTCTGTTAGAAGACACATGGGAAAACAGTCACCATACCACCATGTCTGTGGGAAAGAGAGACAGGAGTGACAGTGCTGGAATCACTGCCCTCTTTAGGAAGGGATCCCACTGCCTCCTGCTCGATGGGCCAGTGAACACTTTGAGCACAGTGTTAACGTAGCCAGTGGACCCACTCCCTTGATGACACAAACTACATGCCAGCTTGAGAGAGAATGACATCACTGATCATAAGACGAGACTGGCCAGAACAGCAACACAACCCAACACACACACACACTATGGACACTAGGTCATTGGCATGGATGTAGACAGGGGATTGTGCAGGAGCCTAGGCCTTCCCTTTTGACAGTTAGGCCTGTAGCTGTTGCTCACACAAAAGGCTCAAAAGAGGCTTGCCAGAAGAAAACTTCATGGAGATAACTGTACCAGAGGGAAATTTAATGGAGATAACTATTATGTGGCAGTTTATCTGCACAGAGAAAAGGAGGTTACACAAAGATCACCAGCTTATTCCAGATGCCTCTCCATACCACAGGAACATGGACACCTTTCCTGTCTTTTTGACGAATGTCACTCAATGGCCTGACATCTTCCAATGGAGCATGCTGCTAGAAAACCACATCAAGTGTAGTTGCTAAGGCAACACAGTATCCAGTTGTGTACTGTGAGACCACACCATGAAGACAGACACTCTCCTAAAAGTCAGCCCATCTGAGTGGGACATGTCTGGCATCACTGTCAATGCAGACTGCTATAACAAGACACCACAAACTGGGTAGCTTAAACAACAGAAATTTATTTTTTATAGTTCTGGAGGCTAGAAGTTCAAGATCACAGTAGCAACGTGGTTGGGTTCTTGTGGAGGACCCTTTTCCTAGCTTGCAGATAGTTACCATCTTGCTTTGCCCTCACATGGCAGAGAGAAGGAGCAAGCTCTCTGTTCCCTTCTTTTCAGGGCACTAATCCCATTATAAGGGTTCCATCTTCATGACCCCATCTAAATCTAATTATCTCCCAAAGCCCCCAATGCCATCACATTGGAGTTAAGGTTTCAACACACACATCTTGGGGGGGACACAAACATTCAGCCCATAAGACATAGCCATGAAACTAAGCTCCCACATCACTGGCAACCGTGCCACCCTCTCTGGATTTGGCCTTTTCTAAGGTGGTTTAGGGGATGCTCTCCATGTGTTCCTGCTTAATCTAAAGGCTGGGCAAAGCTTTCCCTGAGGGTATTTAAGGATCTGCCTGCTGTGACCTAGATGTGCCTGGGAAGGTCACGTGTTTGGGCTGGGAGTGGCCTGCAGTTTTCCCATCTAGAAGGAACTTGGTGAGTCACTGCTGACTGCTTGAGGTTCATTGCCAGGAAGGTCCTTGGAGGTGAAGCACTGAAGGCCTCTGAAGCATGATGATGGGGGAGGGAGGTTAATGTGGTGGAGGATCCTAACCCTCAGTCCTCATGAAAATCACAGCAGCTACTTGTCTTATGAGCCTCTCACCCTCTTTTAATGAGCAGAGAAGGCAATGGGAATTTCACAGCAGGAGGAAGAGTTGGATCACTTCTGGAGAATAATTCAAGGCAGGCTCTTTCCCCTACCCAACCACCCTTCCATGAGAATGAAGGAACTCCAGCTTCTGCACCATGTTTGCAAAACTCCAGTCCCCTGGGAATTCTTTTCTTAGGCTTCTGAGTTCAGGCGGGTTCAGCACAGTAGCAAGATGATGCTCCCCCAATGCTTTGGGAGAGTCTGTTCCCTTTTGCTTCCAAGGGTCTCTAGGGCCAGAGTGATGTCATCCCTGGGATAAGGGCCTGCTCCTGAGCCAACCTCAAAGCCGGCCAGTTCCATTTCTGAGGTCTGTACAGAATCCAGAAGGCCCAAAGAACACCCCCATTTCAATCTGGGACATATGCCTCTGAGAAAGTCTGAGTAGAAGCTTACTCTGAAAAATGCTTTTGGGCAGCAGGGAATCTGGCCAAGAGACCTTTTTTAGCTAAGTCCTTTTTTTGTTAATCTTTTGCAATATTGTTCAAATTTACTCAACTACAATGATACAAGTGGACTTTCTACCATTACAAACCAAAATAATTTATGTTCCAGTTGACCAGTCTTTCACTTTCCAACCTGAGCTATTTTCCCCACAATTTTATGATAAAAACTTCAAACATAAAGAAAAGTTGCATGTATATTATAATGAACATCCATATTCTCACCACCTAGATTTATAATTAACATTTTCTCTACTTACTACCCATCTACTCATCCCTCTCTCCAATTGTCAATTCATATTTTGACACATTTCAAAGTAAGTTATATACATCAATAAGTTGTAAACTAAATACTTCAGTTTGTATGCCATTAATTTTTGAATTTTTCAAATAATTCTTTTCCTTTTGAGGTGATGTAATGCACAAATCTGAATCATTTGTATATACTTATGCATATGCAGTGACAATGCATAAACCTATAACCTAAACTCTGTCAAGACATAGAAACTGTCATCACCCAGAAAGTTCCCTCATGCTCCATCCGTCATTCTACTCTCCCACCTATCCAGAGGCAACCATGGTTCTGATTTTTTTCTACCACTGACCCATTTTCCAGTTTCAGCCTTTATCTAAATGAAACTGCTATGGCCTGAATGTTTGTGCCCTCTCCCCCCCACCCCAATTCATATGTTAAAACCTAGTCCCTATGAGGTAATAGGGATATTAGTAATGATATTAATAGGTGGGGCCTTTGAGAGGTGACAGGTCATGAGGGCAGAGTCCTCATGAATGGGATTACTGTTCTTATAAAGGAGGTGAAAGAGAGCTCTCACTCCGTCCTCCCTATGAGAACATAGCAATGCTCACTGTCAGGAAGTGAGCATTCACCAGACACAAAATCTGCAGCCGCCTTAATCTTGGACTTCCCAGCCTCCAGAACTGTGAGAAATAAATATTTGTTGTTTATAAGCCACCCCATTTATTGTATTTTTGTTATAGCAGTACAGACAGACTGAGACAGGAACCATTCAGTATGAACTCTTTTGTGTAAGGCTTCTCTCACTCAGCATAATCTTTTGAGACTCACCCAAACTTATATTCATCAGTAGTTCATTCCTTTGATTACTGAGTAGTATGCTATTGTATGACTATAGAGTTTGTATATGCATTATCTTATTAATGGCACTTCAGTTTCCAGTTTAGACTATTATAAATAAATCTACTAAGAACAATTTTGTACAAATAGTTTGTGGACATATGTTTTCATTTCTTTCTGGTAAATAGGAATGAAACTGCTGGGTTATGGCATAGATGTATGAGTGTTTATGTTACACTCCCACCGACAATGTGACAGAGTGTGGTTACTCCACATCCTCACCAACATTTGGGTTTATCAATCTTTCTAATTTTAGTTATTCTGGTGGGTGTGAAGCGACTCAACCTGCTATTTGGGCAAATGTCCCAAATTAAAAAAAAAAATAGGGATCAGCTTAAAAGAAATACTGGTTGAGGAAAATCTATGGGTTGGCATATATGATATTAAAAAAGTTCAACTATCCAAACCCAACTTGAAAGAATAAGAAAGGGCTAAAAGAATATGGAAGAAGCAGGCAGACACATTCTTCAGTTCATAATATTCTCGATTATATTATATTATAAGATTTAATGCTGGGAAAATGGCAGCCTTTGTTGATAGGGAGATAGCTGGCCCGGTGTGGACCACAACCTGCTTCCCCAATTTGCTTCCTCTTGGCAAAGCCCCTCGAGCACTATTCCTACAGATCTGAAAAATAGGGCCAGGGATCACCCAGACCATCAGGAGGGACCGCTGCTTCTCTCTCTTTCTTCCCAATACCAACCCTGGACCTAAGGGAAGGGAATTAACATTTGGGGGCATCGACACTGTTAGAGCCTATCCTAGGCCCTGTGCACACATTGTCCTTGAATCCTCACACCACCCCCATCAAGTGAGGCATTGATAGCTTCATGTTGTAGATGTGAAGCCAAGACTTAGAGATGTAGTAACTTGCCTGGGTTACACAGTGTGAGAAGAACCAGGATTTAAATAAATCCTCTGCTCTTTCCACTCTACTTTGCTAAGCACTGGAAAGCAAATTGGAGGGGGTTATTAAGATCAGTTGGTGCAAAGGCCACTAGTAGATAGGGCTGCATGTCTCTGTCAGATTTGTCTCTCCTTTTTCATTCTTTTCTGTTTTTTGCTTTCTAGTGTGTTTGTGTTGGAGGTAGGGCTGATGCATCTTTCAGAATATACAGATGTAAATGAGCTTTAACCCTCCTCTCTGCAGCTGTGAGTGTCTCAGGGCCTGAGTGTTCCTCTTGCACTTTTAGCTTGTCACTTTTTTTCTGCCCTTTCCCACCCTCCTGGAGTTGTTAAGGCCTGGTATGATTAGGGCTTGGTATGGAGGACACGCAGAGAGCCTACGGATCCCTCACTACTCTCTGGTCCTCTTCCTCCTCACTTCCTTCTGCTTCTGTGGGAAGGGAGGTAATTGTATTCATCATGTGTTTCTCTAGACACAGTTACCTGTTCTTGAAAAGCATTAGCTTGTTCCTCAAATCCTGCTGTCCGGAAGTAATTGACGACATCCACCACGGCCCAGTCTGCAGGATCGGGTGGTCTCCCGTTATCCAGGGAACTGCAAAACACAAATCCAGACTGCTGTCAGGGCACAACATGCCAGCGTGGAGCCAGGCTCAGGACTCAGCCTCCCAATAGCAGGCCCAGCCAGCTCTTCCCTGGAGGCCCAGATCCCAATTCACCTCCCTCAGGACCACAGTCATGCTTGTGTTTCTTGGGTTCAGAAGATCATTCCTCTCACTGGCTCGGTCACTGCTTTCCTAATACACCATTAGACTTTCAATATAAAGCATATCCTCATGTACTGTTTTTTAATCCAGAGCTATAAAGAGTGGTCCAGTGATTCTGGCAGCCCACAGCCTGAGTCAAGAACACCAGAACCTTTATAAAGTAGCACTAACGTGCCTGTCTTTTTCCATCTCCTACCACCTTCCTCATCCCCCTTCCCTGTGAAACTGCAGGGCTAATGCCATTTACCGGTCTGCCATGCCCTTTTACAGCTCTGGGACTTTACACATGCTGTTCCAGCCACTTAAATGCCCCTCCCCATTTGTTTCTACTTGGCAAAACCCACCATTCTTTCCTAGTTCATCCCACTTCAAATGCTTCCTCCTCTGTGAGGCCTTTTCTTATTCTACCAGGGGATTGTTTTAGCTATGACCTCCTCTGCATTCAAGAACTCTGTTCAAACTCCCCTGGTATCACTTCCCATGCTGGAGTATACTCTCTGCTTATCCAACAGTCTCCCACCAGGACAAGAGATGTGGGCTAGAGACACACATTTGGACCTAGACCATTTCTGACTTTATTGTTCCTAGTGTCAAGTGCGAAGTTAGGAACTCAATCAATGTTCAAGTGCCTAGATAGATCAAGTAATTGTTTTCGAGGGTTGGTGGGTGAGCTGCTGGGCTGGATTTAAAAAAAATTTATATATATATATATTGATTTCAGAGAGAGGAAGGAAGAGGGAGAGAGAGAGAATCATTGATCAGCTGCCGCCTGCACCCCCCCTACTGGGAATTGAGCCCGCAACCTGGGCATGTGCCCTGACCAGGAATCAAACCATGACCTCTTGGTTTATAGGTCAATGCTCAACCACTGAGCTACACTGGCTGGACTGGACTGGATTTAAAGAGGAGGGACAGGAGAATTGGAATAGAGAAAGAATGGCAGGGACCTTCAGTTACTGTGACTCTGCCTCACTTCTCTTTGGGGAGTATTTGTCTGATATCGCTACTCCTCATCCAAGATGATTCTTCCAAAGTAAGCATCCAATCACACTGTTCCTGCTTAAAATCCTCCAAAGACTTCCCACTGCCTTTAAGATAAATTCCAAATAGATTAACTTGGCTTAGGAAAGCCTTCAGTACAGAGCTCCTGCTGACTCTCCAGCTAGGAACACACTGGTGAGTAAACAGACATGGTGCTTGCTCTGTGGACCTTCAGTCCAGTGGGGAAGACACTGATCAGTAACCATACAATTTAACGTGCAGCTGCACACTGTGGTCAGTTTAAGGGGTCAGGGAGGCTTTTCTGTGAAAGATTCTTTTGAGGCATGGTCTAGAAAGCAGCCAGAAATTAACCAGATGAAAAAGTCAGGAAAAAGATTATTCCAGGCTCTTTAAGAGGAATATACACTACAAGGGAGCTATGTAAGTCCTGGAGGCCACATTGAGGATTCTGGATTTTTGTGCACCAGCAATGGGGACTTGTTAAATGGGCTTATGCAAAGGGCATGACCTAGTAAGATTCACATTTTGAAGAGCATTGGAGAGGAGCCAGAAGGAAAGAAGGGGTGCCAGTGAGAGGTCTATTGGAGTCACCAGAACAGGAGATCATGGTGACCAAGACTAGAGCAGTGGCTATAGAAAAGGAGAAGTGTGCAGATTTAAGATATATTTAAGCAATAAAATTAGCATGACTTGGTGGTGGACTAAACATTGAGAATGAAGGAAATGTAACTGGATGAATGGTTACTTCACTTAGATAACACCCTCAGGGTTAGTTGGATGCACTGAATTTAGGGTACCATATATAGTCAAGTAGAGATTTAATGTGGGACATGAGTCTGGAGCTCAAAGCAGCTGAGTGGGCTAGAGGTACACATTTGCAAGGGAGAAGCATTTAGATCAGCAGTTCTCAACCTGTGGGTCGAGACCCCTTTGGGGGTCGAGTGACCCTTTCACAGGGGTCGCCTAAGACCATCAGAAAACACATATATAATTACATATTGTTTTTGTGATTAATCACTATGCTTTAATTATGTTCAATTTGTAACAATGAAAATACATCCTGCATATCAGATATTTACATTATGATTCATAACAGTAGCAAAATTACAGTTATGAAGTAGCAAAGAAAATAATTTTATGGTTGGGGGTCACCACAACATGAGGAACTGTATTAAAGGGTTGCGGCATTAGGAAGGTTTAGAACCACTGATTTAGATGGTAATTGAAACCTTGTAGAGGATAAGAGAAGTGGACCTGGAACTAAACCTGGGGACGTTCAACATTTAGTGAAAGTTGAAAAGATTCATATTACTTTAATGGAAATCAAACATCCAAACTTCCAAAAATCCAGGGTCTAGCTGTACCTCTGCTTCCCTTTAAGCACAATGTTTTCCTCATGGTAGGAACTTAAAATATTTGATGAAAAAAACAAACTTCTGTCCTAGCTAAAGAAAAGGGAGTCATTAATAATGGCACTTGTGATCAATGATTTATCACCACAGCACTTAATTTTAAACCATTTAAAGTGAATGTTTATAGTTAGAGGTGTCTTCTATTTGGGGGTTAGGGACTGTGAATCCATAATCAATGCATGCCCATGCACACATACACTTGTGGACATGCATGCTCACACGTGTACACACACACACACATACATACATCTTTTCTACTATTAAAGAGGCAATCTACATAGGGAAAAACCTGCTTTACACCATAACATTGTCAAACATTAATTATGTATTTTAATATCAAAGCTACATAGGTTTTAAAAACATTATACACGTGCTGGGATTTTCTACCATTAACATAGCAACACTGGGGACTCTCTTTGAGGCACCATTTTCCTTCTCTTGCTTAAGGCAGGCTTGAAGAATGTTTGGAAAGGAGTTCATTGTTCTAACAAACCTTTTAAGTCTTCTAATCAGCTCACTTTCTAGCAGTGAGCACAGAGTCCCATCCGATACACTTTTAAGTGCCACAGAAAACATCTGAATTCACTCTCTCTGTGGATGGTTTCAATTAACTATAAAGAATAGTTATCTAATTACAATAACAAAGTCTGCTACATTCTAATTTTAGGGTGGGAGGCTTTCCTGATTCTTATTCTGCTGGGATATGACATCATCTCATCCATAATTCTGAAATATTCTTGAGTACTAGCAATGCAGCAGAGAATAAGAACTTGGCAAAACTGTTGGCAGTGTATCATGAAGAACAGGAGCAGTGGGAACTGGGTGCTCTCTCATTCTTAGGGTGGGGGATTCCACGCAGAAGAAAGAAGGAGTTAGAAACCAATCGATGCTTTTAATAAGTAATCCACCTAAACTTAAGACTGATAGCTCCCTGCCCCCCAAAAATAACTTAGAAGAGAAATCACCATGTTGGACTATTCACATCCTGAAGGGAGAAACCTGTCTATCTTCATCTCTGTAGCTCTCAGCACCTGTAGCACAGGTCTGATGGTACATAATCAATACACAGCAAAGATCTGTTACATTAATAGACTTGCAACCAAAGAGCACTTAAGAGTCTAAAATACCCTTTTCACTCATTACTTATTATCAGCCTGCCAGCGGCTTGTGAACTGGCTACTGTATCCTGTTTTTAGGAAACTAAGGCTCAGAAAAGTTAAGACACTCGCCCAAAATCACAGAGTAGACAGAGCTAAGATTGGATTCCCTATGTGCTTGCCTCCAAATCTATGCTTTTCTACTCTTCTTATTCACTGATACAACAAATATTTACTAAAAGTCTTCTCAGTACTGTGCTGGATGCAGGGCTACGGAGATAGGAATGCATAGGCAGGCCCTTCCCTCAAGCAGCTGGCAATCTGGGGAGAGGAAGCTGGCAGGTGAACAGTGAACTCTAAGTCATTCTAGCACTGAGGGGTGAGCAGGTGCCATTGAGGATGCATGCACTGGAGGGCCCATATAGTTTTTTCCGACCAGGACACTTGAAGATTTTCAAAGGCTATTTTGAAGGTTATCTATTGCTCCAAACACCCTAAATTAGGCCCTGAGAGGGGAGGCTTGCACACGCAGATACATGCAGGCACACATGGTCACTTCACAAGCATGTCAAACTTGGGGCCAGCGGGCCGCAGGCCGCATTTATTTAAAGGAGGCATGTGGCCCACTGGCCGCAAGTTTGACATGCTTGTGAGCGTGCTGAATGATTTCACTAGGCCCTTCCAACAGTTTTAAGGAGAAAACTGGAGATGATCCAAGGCAACATGATGGCAGGCTTGGCGAGGCCAGAGTGCCCGGGCTGGGAAAATAATGAGAACACTGCAGAGGAGAGATTTCAGTGTCACTTTTCCCCACTGGGAAAGCCACACTTCTCCTCAAGGACTGCTGTTTGTGGCCAAACTGGGACACTTTGTTTCCTTTTAAATGGGCCATTCTCTCCACATCTTTTCTTATAACTTGTGCATATCAAATTCCAGAAGGAATTTAAGGGTGCTGTTTAAAACACCTCCCAAATCGTGGTTCCCATTGTGGCTGCTAATTTTGCACTGATGAAATGAGATGGCAGATATAAAAGTACTGTTATCATTTAATATTTATTATTCACTAGCGTCATAGCAAAATGTTTCTTAGAATACAATGTATTAAGGTGATCAACTCCTGAATACTTTTCCAGGAATTTTATCTTATTATAAAAAAATAGCAAAAAATGTGGGCAAAATTTGTCTACAATCCCATCACGTAATCAAATCAATGTATCCATTTAGCCCACTCACCTTTTGGTCCCTGTGGATATGGTTAGGTACATCATGGATTGATAAAAATTATATCATGTGTGAATAAGTCACACTGGGAAATGA